CCGAAGAGTGGTGTAGTGGGAGAAAGATCTTAGGAGCGGAGAGAAGAATTTTAGGTGATCATAGGAGTTTAGGAGCGAATACCACTACACCACTCTTCGGTACTGGTATAGAGAGTGGTTTTGGTATATAAAGGTAGGTCCCTCAGGGGTACATGTCGACATTTGAGGGCATGCCTGCGTTCGAACGACACTGAAATTTGGCGAAATAAATCCAGGAAAAAAGGAAGTGATAGATCCGGGCTAGGCGACAAAAAATCGAGCCAACTGGCAAAAACCGAAGAGTGGTGTAGTGGGAGAAGGATCATAGGAGCGGATTTTAGAGATTTTAGGTGATCATAGGAGATCTAGGAGCGTATACCACTACACCACTCTTCAGTATGGGTATTGAGCGGTTTTTGATATATAAGGGTAGGCATGCTCGTCTCGTGGAGGGCGCTGGGTGCAGTGGGCAAGGCTCGGGGACGAAGCGTGAACGAAGAAGGTTTTCGTGCGTTCGTGGCGGGCGAATGAGTGACGTCGCGACAGCGTGAATGTAGTCTGTGTGACTCTTCGGTATGAGTCGTCAAAAGCGCATTCGGTTTCTCAAGGCTTCCATGATCACTTGATCACGGACGTACTCGTCGAAAATATTTGTCGTGTTCGTCGTCGCAGCATTTCGTCGTGAATTTGCAGGTCGAAGTTGTCATGATGAACCGCACCTCAAATAATAATTTACAAGACGTCAAAAGGTCGGAGCTTTCTTTTTTCCGCTCCCCGCAAATTTTAGTCTCTGAGCTTCCTTGGCGGCAGCCCACTACTAGCGCGAGTACGTAGACGTCATCGCCTTAAGCCAACTGTCCATCGTCAAAAACGCGACCAAGGCCAATCTGGCGTCACTTCTTGCAAACCTTCTGCCTCTCTCCAAGCCTGTCATTGACCTCTCCTAATGCTGTGGCTCTTCTAAGAACTCACTTTACGCTTGTTTACAATGGTTACTACCCGACGTGCTGCGAGGGCGGCTGCTGAAGTGAACGATACAGTTATGGATTCTCCCTCCAGATCGACTTCGACGCCTCGCTCGTCTCCTTTCCTGCCGACACCCCTAGAGAGAGCTGGCCTTGTGTTGTTCCCAGCTCTCTTGATCTTCGGAACTATCTTCTCTATAGTTTCACCGCAGACACGCGCCGCACCGTACGATCCTATCGCGCAGTCGCATTTCCAAGATCCTAGCGTTTCTCCGAGCTATTTCGCGCGCAAGTCCAATATTTTCAACGTTCTCTTTGTCAAGCGAGGATGGGCATGGATCACTGTTGCGTTCTTTGTCTTCATCTTCAGCCATCCTAGCACCACCGACACCGGGCGACGTGTCCGCGCGAGTCTACGATGGGTTGCTGTAACAACAATGTGGTTCCTCGTCACGCAGTGGTGCTTTGGACCTGCTCTGATTGACCGTGGTTTCCGATGGACAGGTGGCCGCTGCGAGCTCGCTCGAAGGGAGGTCGAATTTGGCTCTGATACTGTTGGTGATAAGGTCACAGCAGTGGCCTGCAAAGCTGCCGGTGGTAAATGGAAGGGAGGACATGACATATCGGGTCACGTCTTCCTCCTGACGCTAGGTACTGCGTTTCTCATGCAAGAAGTCGGCTGGGCTGTGTTAAGATGGTCCGGCAAGCGAAACGAGGAGCGATGCGTCGTTATGTCTGATGGAGCTCTCAAGAGCGCTAATGTCGAATCTGACACGTCTCTAGGCGAAGGTTCTGAGCGACCTGCTCTGGGTCTCGGCGGCAAGTTCGCTGTGGGTGTCATGGGATTGAGTGCTTGGATGCTACTCATGACGGCTATTTACTTCCATACATGGTTCGAGAAGGTAAGCAAAGCCGGTGTAGTCTCTCACCTGTCATTACTAACGACTCCTAGTTTACTGGACTCTTGACCGCGGTGACGGCCTTTTACGTTGTGTACATTGTGCCTCGCTTTGTACCTGCTGTTAGACAGGTCATTGGTCTTCCTGGCATATAGAAAGAAGCATGGTGTGATGAGTTATGAGTGACGCAGACGGAGTACATAGGTGTAAGGTAGAACGAGTTGCATAATCCCACTGTAGTAGCATCGAGTGGCTCTTCACAGGGTTGTTTTATTTTATTCCGTATCGCTATACCTAATCCACGGCAGATGAACAACTCCAAGGCTGCCGGCCAAGGTCCAGGATGATGCCACACTATGGCCGTCTCGTCACTCTACATGCTGTAACTTCATGTCCGGTAATCTACCTTCTTCGTCGAGCTGATGACTTGGTCTTCTTGAACTCATCCTTGATCTCATCTAAAAGCCCATCAACAGTCAATACATCCACAGCGACACCAGCAAGACCCTTAGCGACCATGAGAGCCTTCTCGAAAGCAGGCTTGCTTCCCGCTGCGACCTCGAAAGGCGCAGTATGAGGGCCACTTTTTGGAACAGTTCCATTGGCATAGGTGATCTGGAACATTGGGCTGATAGCTGGGAAATCCTGGCTGATGTTTCCTTGGTCAGTTGAACCACCAGGCTCTCGCATCTTGTCGACGTCAGCATCAGGAAGGTCACCGCCAAGCTCTTCGAACCAGCGTGTGTATGACGCCGCGAGACCATCGTTGCTGTTCATGTTGGCGTAACCGTATGGTCGTGTTGTGTAGTTCATCTTTGCGCCTGTGCCAAGAGCACCAGCCTTGAAGCAGTTGTATACCCGGTCTGAAAGCTCTTCGAGTTGTTCCTCGTTGGCGGCGCGGAGCTGGTAACTTCCTGATGCATCAGCTGGAATGACGTTGATACGGGTTCCTGCTGAGTGAATGATTCCATGGACACGATCTGTCGTACGCATTTGTTGGCGCATATAGGACAGAGCACTATTGGCGAGGAGGAGTGCGTCTTGTGCGTTGATGCCCTCCCATGGCCCGGCTGCAGCGTGAGCCTCACGGCCTGTATACTCAACATCGACACGATCTGTTGACTGAGCCAGCATGTACGGAGTGTCGGGACCGTTGCTAGGATGTGAGATCAGAGAGATGTCAATCTTGGCATCCTTGAAGACGCCGGCTTCAAGCATCTTGACCTTCCCACCGAGGGACTCTTCCGCTGGCGTGCCAAAAAGAATGACCTTGCCCCCAAGCTTCTCTTTGCGCATGATCTCAGCGGTTGCAAGAGCGCCACCCAGCGATGCCGTCGCAATCAAGTTATGGCCACAAGCATGTCCCAGTCCTTCGAGGGCATCGTACTCGGCATTGAAGCTCACGACAGGACCATCACCTGAACTATCAAACACAGCCATGAAGGCAGTGTCGATTCCGCCAACTGTGTCAGTCACATTCCACCCTTTCTGCTTCTTCATGAACGATGTGAGAAGTTTGTGGGCCTTGAACTCTTTGTATCCCAGCTCGGGATTGTCGTGAATGTTCTTGTTGATTGACCAAAGCTCTTTATCGAGTGAGTCGACATAGTCTGAGACTGCTTCAGTGTACGGGCTTGTGGCATTCTTCTTTTGGCGTGGTTCAAGGGTGGTTTGTAGTGATGATGCTGGGGCTGCGAGGAGTGTGAGGCCGAACGCAAAGGCTGCGAGGCCTCTGGCATGATCAAGACAGACCATCACGGTGGCTTATTCCGCAATGTGTAATGAAGAGAATTGGAACCGGCTTTTGGAAATTTACTATTGCGTTCCAATGATCACAAGTACCACCTCAAACCTGGACAAGGTGTAACAGACTCGTCGTCGCATCGCGGACATGGCAATCCCCCGACCTTATATACTACGGCCATTCTGATATTCAATACAACTCACTTAGGCGAACCACGATTGCCTGTATGCTCGTTATCACTTCTTTTGGCAGTATCTCAATTGCTCCTCAGTCTAGGACCTAGAATTGTTGCCCGAGACTCCACCTCACAAATCCCCCGCCCAAGACGTTCTGCAGTTACCTTCCTAACTGGGGTATTAATTAAGCAAATCTTTAGAGTTATCAGTTAGTTGAACCTGGGTCGTATCGTCACCCCGCCTCGTGGGTCTCTTATTCCCTGCGATGAGTTCGTCTATGTAACCATAGCCTTGATATCGATAACCGACGCGGCACCGACCAAGGATCAGATTGTCGGGATGAAGATTGCAAGTTTCCGAGGATTGTGCGATTGAGACGGAGTTCTCCATAAGTTATCTATTGCCGTGTTCTATAGCCGGTCAGCATCCGCGGCGGTATTGACCGCCGTTTGTCGACGAGGTAAGGTTTGTGTCAGAGGCCTGTATATACACTCATTGGAGGAGGATTACATATCACGGCCGATTCAAGATAGGATCTAGTATTTTGTACTATGAGCAGCTCTAAAGTAAAAATGCAGAAGTGTTAATCATTTATTCTGGTCACTAAGTAGGCATCTAAGTAGTGATTTGACGGGGTGCCTCTAAACATGTTCCAGATACCAAAGTAGATCGAAAGGGCGGCGTCAGTCGTTATAGCACCCTGAATTCATGATAGCTGCCTAGAAATAGTGACTCAACATCCATCTTCCAGATCTGTGCTCACTGAGTCGTTGGTGGAATCCTCGTCTGCGATGCCTGGCATGTTTGAGACCAGCTCTTCTGGTGCTATGCAAGAGATGGGATAAGGTCTCTCAGAGGAAACACACGCATGTAACTCCCAGTCGTCCCAATATTCTTCTTCAAAACTTGCAACCAGAAAGACATAAGTATCGGCCTCCACACTAATACCATTAGCCAAGAAAGCTGTGACGGACATGGCCACTCGTCGAGGACTGTTGTAATGATATTCCTGGCGTTCCTCCAGGGTTTCACAGATCAAAAGAAGACCCGGGAGCTCTTTGGGGGCAGGACAGTGTGATGGAGAGCAATTGATAGCACTCTCTTTGTATGGCAGTACGGTGAGGACTGTAGCAGGTCTTATCAGAGAAGATATATACTTTGTGTTGGAGAATGAGCCGGTCAGCTTGACAGAAAGAAGCCTAATATGGTACTCGTCATTGCCGGGGACGAAAATGGGCTTGATGGGTACAGAAGCCATGTTGGAGGCCAGGAACGTCTGTTGGAATGTTTACAGTGGAATAGATGAGAAACGTTGGATATAAACTTGATGGTGAAGAGATGAGACGCTATGCTGGAAAGCAGGATTCAAAACTATCAAGGCGAGAGATTAAGGCAAAGTTTTATACTCAAGCTTCTGATAAAGAAAGTCCATTCTCGCGTAAGTATTCATTCAATGTTGAGGTTACTTCTATGCTCGCTTTGTGTATACAATGCAACAAAGGCCTGTGGTCTGCTGTAGCCAAAGACTAGCTATTAGGTAACTAACCAAGGAAGATAACAAGATCTCAAAGATATCATCAGTGTATTTGTTGTAATCTTGAGTTCATTGAGAAACAAAGAGTGGAGTGTGCCATCAGAACCTATGGACGAATCACATCTAACAATCATCATCGCCAACTTGATCATCTACCTTGACAAGAATCTTGCCCCTAGCATGAAGCCCACCTAGCTTTCTATAAGCTTCCTTAGTCTCCTCAAACGGCCAGATACTGTCTTTGACCAGTTTTATATCGCCACGGCCCAAAATATCCGCGACAGCCTGACGATCCTCAAGTGTAGGGCTCATCATAGATGTACCCAACCATCTTCGTCCAACACCACCGAGCCATGGGGATACTGGCCACCATTCGTTGAGCTTCATCTGCAGCACAGCGCGGAGGAAGTCTGGGACGAAGAACGTGGGTGGTTTGATGCCAACGGAGGAATAGTTGCCTTCGGGTACAAGATAGGATGGTGAGGCGAGATATAGGGCTTGATGGCCTAAGGTGTCGATGATGGTGTTGAAGGGTTCTGGTAAGAATCTTTCGGTGAGGTACTTGGATAGATGATCATGTTGCGTATAGTCGATTATCTGTCAAGCGAGTTAGTTGTCGTTCCATTTCAATCAACGCTTAACTCACCTCATCTGCACCAAGACTCTTGACCAACTCGACATTCTTACCGCTGCATATGCCAACGATATATCCTTCAGGTCCTACAACTTTTCGGAGCATCTGTACCACCAGAGACCCAATTCCACCACTTGCTGCATTGACCAAAACACGATGCCCGGTCGTTGCACCAGACTCGTTCACAAGCTGCCGTGCTGTCAAGCCTGGCAGTAAGCAGCCAGCTCCATCGGCAAAGCTCACGCCCTCTGGTTTCTTCACAGCATATCGAGCTGGAATTCTAACAAATTCAGCCAAAGCACCTGTTCCCGTAGGCAAAGTATGGCTGGCTGGTAGCATAGCAAGAATCTTGTCACCTTTATTGAATCTCTTTGACCGTGCTGATCCAGATTCGTCATCAGGATGCCAGACATCGATCGCAGTGCCTGAAAAGTCCATCTCAGGAACACAGGTTGGTTTCCGAATAAATGGCGGAACGAGAGTCATCTGGAATATGGCACCTGGATTCAAGCCTGCAAAGGCCACTTTGACAAGAATCCATTCCTCTGGGTCCGGCACGTCTTTTGGCAAGGGAAGGGGAGGCGGTAAAGTTGGGATAGGCTGGCTTGTAAGATTGAGGACGTCCCATGGTAGACCTCGCTCTGAGAATACCCAGGCTCTTGATTCTGTCATTTTGAGATGTTGTTGATGAGGGGTTTGTGATACTGTGAGATGGGCATTGTGGCGGTTAAGCCAAGCTATGTTCGGCTTTCAGCCGCACTTGTTAGTTGAAACTGTCAGCTGTCGTTCATTCTCGACCAGTCGGCATGCTTCCTTGCCAAGTCTCTGCTGCATCTTCAAATAAGACGGAGCATTTGGCGTCCGATAACACCGTTCACGCAAGAGAGCTTTATTCATGAGCGCAGTTCAAAAGGAACATTTACCATTCACTCAAGGCACAAGTTAATGTTTAACATATCGCAGCAGAATGTTCAAAAATAAAAATTAAGAACAGATATACAAATGAAAGCGTCATAATGCTATTCTGAACATATTGAAGCTGTGAATTGATGATGTCGCGATGGTTACCCTAGACGTCCAGTAACAAGGACCCTGACTGCGATCTGTCCTATTTGCACAATTGAAAGTCGGATAGATTATGCATACTCCTGAAACATAATCCAACTAGTGAAATCTACACTGTATGCCCACTGCTAGTTGGGAATTAGTTCGAGACAACATATCTGGGGCTTGATTGCAGCTAGCTCATTGGAGCGTTGGCGTAATTTGTACCTCAAATTGCATGGGGTCAACAATCCAATTTGCCACAAAAGGAGAAGCGAGATAACAACAACAAATTCCGCCCGCCAGCCCTGATATCGTTCAAAGCAGAACAGATTTCCCCCCCGTGTTCGACCCCTCCATCAGAGATGCGCTGTCCCCCCGTAATACGGTAGCCTAGAACCAAAGGGACCCGACCCCTAAGCACCTATCAATTCAATCTCCACAGCGCAAAAAATACGGCTGCCTTCAGCGGCAACCCTGCTGTAAGACCCAGCAACCACAGCAACGAAAAGACCCCGCCGCTTTTCCAGCAAAAAAGACAGCGCACAATTATTCAGTTATCCGGCACAGTTGAAATTAGCTTATTCCATATCAGCAAAATTTTGGGCAGGCCAATTTATGTACATAATCAGACCACACCAAGGCTACCGCCTTTTCACCGCCAGGCACCGGAATTCTCACTCATTTTACTTTTTAGGCACCATTTTTACCACTTGGTCAATAAAGTCGTCGTCCTTTGGCAAAGCCTCAATCAAGCCAGCTCAGCTCCTCGATAGCTTCACCACGTAACGTACTCGCACCCCCCGTACGCGTAAGAGGCAAACGTCAGCAAAAATGCGTGAGATTGTGAGACTTGACCTTCTTCTTTTCGTCCCTGGCGAATTTGAGTTTGACTGAGGCTAACTACCCCCCGTTTGACAGGTGCACGTCCAAGTCGGCCAATGTGTAAGGGCCACCCAACCAATTTTTCTGCTTTGAGGGACATGTGTTGAGTTGATGATTGCAGGGCAACCAAGTCGGCTCCAGTTTCTGGTAGATACTACTGCAGGCGATTATTTTTGAGTGTAGAGACTGACGATTTATCAGGCAAACCGTCTCTGGGGAGCATGGCGTTGACGGCAGCGGCTCGTGAGTGAAATGAAGAGTCGGTGACCCTTATTTGCCTCAACCTAACATTCTCTCAAAGATACAACGGAACCGACGACCAGCAGCGAGAGCGCATCGACGTCTACTTCGCCGAGGCGCGTCTCCCCAATCTCTCTCACTCACCGTCTTTTTTTCACTAACCGTCTCCCTTTAGGCCACAAAGGATAAGTACGTGCCCCGCGCGGTCCTTGTGGATCTTGAGCCCGGTCCTCAGGATGCCATCCGCGCCGGTCCCCTAGGCCAGCTTTTCCGCCCCGACAATTTCGTCGCCGGAAATGCCAGCGCCGGCAACAACTGGGCCAAGGGTCATTACACCGAAGGTGCTGAGCTCGTTGAGGAGGCCATCGATGTTGTGCGACACGAGGTTGAGAACTGTGACCATCTTCAGGGTTTCCAGCTCACCCACTCTCTGGGCGGTGGTACCGGTTCCGGCATGGGAACGCTTCTTCTGTCGAAAATCCGTGAGGAGTTTCCCGATCGTATGATGGCTACTTTTTCCGTTATGCCCTCGCCCAAGGTTTCTGATACCGTCGTCGAACCTTACAACGCCACTTTGTCATTGAACCAGCTTGTCGAGAACTCGGATGAGACCTTCTGTATCGATAACGAGGCTTTGTACGACATTTATGAGAAGACCTTGAAGATCGCTGATCCTTCTTACGCCGATCTTAACTACCTGATCTCGACAGTCATGGCTGGCGTGACGACATGTTTCCGATTCCCCGGTCAGCTCAACTCTGATCTGCGCAAGTTGGCCGTCAACATGATTCCCTTCCCTCGACTTCACTTCTTCATGGTTGGATTTGCGCCTTTGACCGGTCGTAAGATGCAGGGCTTCCAACATCTTACCGTGCCCAGCCTTGCTCAGCAGATTTTCGATAACAAGAACGTCATGGCTGCTGCTGATTTCCGCAACGGTCGATACCTCACTTGTTCCGCGATTTTGTAAGTTTTGATTTCAAAAGATGCATGAAATGAAATGAGATGAACTGACATGAAATTAGCCGCGGTAAGCTGTCGACAAAGGAGATCGAAGACCAGATGCTCAAGGTGCAAACCAAGAACTCAGAGTATTTCGTCGACTGGATCCCCAACAACGTGCAAACCTCCGTCTGCTCCGTTCCCCCCAGAGGTCTCCCCATGGCCGCCACATTCGTCGGAAATTCCACCGCCATCCAGGAGATCTTCAAGCGCGTCGACGACCAATTCTCCGCCATGTTCCGTCGCAAGGCTTTCTTGCATTGGTACACCAGCGAGGGTATGGACGAGATGGAATTCACCGAGGCCCAGTCCAACTTGCACGACTTGGTCAGCGAGTATCAGCAGTACCAGGATGCTGAGATCGACGACGAGGTTGAGGAGTACGAGGGTGAGGGTGAGCCTGAGGAGTATGAGGGCTAGAGGGATTGGAGAGCAGCTGGTTAAGATGATAAACTATTTGGCTTATTATTTCTTTATTACCCCCCAAAATGCTTCATCCCCTTCTAGTTCATATATAGCATTCAAAACTGAAATTGGTTTATTAGGCTTTGTTTTATAGCCGATTCATAATTATATGGTCCTTTTTAACTTTTGAAATCCCCTTTAATCATGCTTGACGTACATGGTGTCAAAGCCAACGTTCTTCCACTCGCCAGTCTCAGTGTTGAGAGTGAGATTTGTATGCTTGACCTCTCCATAGCGAAGAGCACCGGACTCAGCTCGACCACCAGCAACAGGACGCTTCAAGTGGTTGTCACCAGAAACGACGGTGAAGTTAGCCAGAGGAATATCCCATGAGTTGCGAGAGGCAACAGAGGGAGAACCTGAAGATGTTAGTGAGACCTCTGGGAGTGAACAGGTGTTTGAATCTTACCATAGAATCGGGACGAGACCTGCTTAGCATTCACATCCAGAATGAAGTATCCTCGGTAATAACCCTCTTGCCACTGGAGCTCAGGGTTATTCTGAACTCTGGCACGAGCAGCTTTGCCGGCTGCAGGCTCGATAGGGCCACCAACTCCATTAGAGCTGACAGCTGTTCCGGCGAACTCGACACCAATACTTCCAGCACCAGTCTTGTTGTCATATTCCTTGGTTCCAAGCCAAACAAGATCCGAGACCTGCCATATGTCAGTTTAGTAGAGACAAGGAAAGTTATGATACATACCCAGTTCTGGTGGCTGTCTCCAGCGAGGAAGATGTTGTTTCCAATATCGTTGTCGTACAGATGCTCAAGAGTTCGGTTTCGGTTGGCGACATAGCCCTTCAGAGGTCAGTACTTGCAACAAAACCAAACGACTGCTCATTCACTTACGCTCCAGTTATCACCTGGTAGAACCTCGCCATTACCCCAATCCTCGGTGATACGCGAGAAGATGATCTGGTTGCCAACGATTCGCCAGGCGGCACCTCGGTCCTTAGACTTACTAAGAGATCGATAGAACCAGTTCTCCTGACGACCTCCCATGAGAGTGCGGCTGGGATCATCTCGGATCATGTCGATGTAGTTGTCGTTCCAGTCGAGGCTGGTAATGCTGCGGTCGTAGTTCCGAGTGTCGAGGATGATGAGATCCAGGAGCTTGCCCATTTGGAAAGAACGCCAGACTCGAAGGCCATCGTCGAGATCAGTTTGGCTGATATGGAGGTTAGTTGAAGCTAGTAGCAGGGTTGGTTTTGATATTTACCGGATGGGCATCCACTCGAAGTAAGCTCGGACAGCGTTAACCTTTCGAGTATCAACTGTGACCTTGCGGCCCTCTTTCAAGAAGGATTCTTCGGTATTATTAAGACCAGAGAATCCATCTCTGTAGCCGTTGTTGGCGAACTCTATGCATTGTCAGATGGATCTAGGGATATGCACAAGAGACTTACCGTGATCATCCCAGGTAGGGATCCAAGCAAAGTTCTGAGACAGAAGCTGCAAATCGAGATCCGTGCGGTACTAGTGAGATAATAAGGTAAGCGAATTTCCTTAGAAATATGCCGTGGTAACTGACCTGTCCATGTCGAGTTCGGTAGTCGTGAAGTGTAAAGATCTCAGTAGAAGGCTGGCTGGCCCGGCTGCCATTGGCTCCGTACTCATAGATATAATCTCCCAGATGGATAACGTAGTCATGCTCGTCCTTTCTGGCAGCGTTACCGTAGGCGTTGAAGTAGCCGTTAGCTGAAACGATTAGTTTTGGCTCCCAGTTTTATCAAAGGGAGAAGTTAGCTCACGGTAGTTGCTGCAAGAGAACACAGCAAAGCTCAGATCAGAGACGTCATCGTTGGTGGTGGGAGCAGTCTTGGTGCGACCAACAGGACTCTTGACATTAGAGTCACAGACCTTGAATTGATAGTAGTAAGTGGTAAGAGGCTTCAAGCCACTAGCTTCGACCTAGAAGGTGTTAGTCAAGATGTCTTAGTCTATTTTTCAAACGGCCGTGCTCACCTTGACAGTGTAGTCGATATCAGAGGTAGTATAAGCTCGTCCACTGGCGGCCGTCTTCCCATTTCCAGAAGCAGACTTGGACTCATAAACCTTCCACTCCACACAAATGGGATGAGGATCAGCCTTGATGTACTTCTCAGTCTCATGGCTGTAATGTCCCGCGGTGCCGTCCACAACAGTCTCACTGTCATCTGACTTGGTAGAGGGTGCAACACGGGTCCAGAGGATAACGCTCTTAGGCCAAGGATCTCCAGAGGCTACTCCATGAGTAAAGTTGAGCTGAGAAGCATCATAAGGAGTGTTACCACGCTTCATAGATCGACGCTTGACCAAAGGAACATCGATTCCAAGACGAGCATGACGACGAGACGGACTGGCGTAGTTCAAGTTGCCGTCGAACTCGGCTGTCACAGCTGTAGCCAAAAGGCCACAAGCATAGAGAATCACAGCAGACTTCATATTGACTATGACAAAAGCCGTTGATACAGACAAAAAAGAAGCTTATCCTTCGTATATGTCTCTTTTTAAGCTTCTCCCGACCTCCATCCCAACCCCGCCCCCGTTATCGTCCATATTGCCGCCGAGATGCCGGTAGCCAACAAACAGGCCAGGCCTGTACACGTTGTTTCGTCCTGTGTATTGCATCACCACTCTCGTGGACCTGCAAGCCCTGGCCTGGTGTAACTGGGTCCTTGGTGTCACGGTCAACGAAAGAGGTAGCGATGTGACGTTGTTGAGTGACCAGTAGGAAAGATAAGGATTGTAAGCATCGAATGCTAACGTTGGTTGCAATCCACGTGGAGGTTCGGAAGTTTTTATCTTGGTGCTGGTGTAATTCGACATCGTGGCGTGGTTTGAGGATCTTATTGGTTGTCTTGGTTGTATTGATGAGGGCTTGTGTTGTCCTGATTGGAGCTGCTACTATTGAGATCGGGGAGTGGAGACTATAACGGTAGAACGACTTAGCGAGTGTCGATCTGATGATGTCAGGCTCATGGGCATTTAATTACCTTCTTACTTATCTGAGGTACTATTTGCCGAAGTCTTCCACAAACTAATGAAGAACGAAGCTACATGTTAAGGGCGGGGGTTGAGTAACCTGGTCTGATAACTCACCCACCAAGGATCCTTGCTTCGGATTGACATCCTGATTTTATGGAGGCTTTAAGTTTCTGACGAGATATAACACGCATTACGCTAAGATGATTGGAAGGAAAAACAGGCCTGCTTGACATTTTATCAAGCCGAAGCTGCTGTTCATGGCAGTATTGCATGATTGCCGTGATATATGTTTCTCTCTATTTTTAGCCACCACGTGACCACTGTATATCCCAAACATGGACATGCCTCCTCAAGCTTCTTTTCACGGCCCTTGAACGACAAAGAACCGCCCATATATAAATCTGATAAGATGCCTGTACCACCACATCGGCCTAGGATATTCCGATGGGCAAAATTTAACCTAGAAGCACTTCTTTTGCTCGCAGAGAAGCTTCGAGGTCAATCATGTACCTGTGACGAGTCCAAGGTCCCTAGGAGCGGTAGCTTGAACTGGGTTATATTCATCACCTTCGATGATGGGGTTGAATGGGTGTTTCGCTCGGCTCGCTACGACACACATATTTTCTCAGACGAAACCGCCTCCAAAACACTCATAAGTGAAGCGAGTACGTTGAAGTACCTTGAAACCCATTGTGAAATTCCCGTTCCGAAAGTTTACTCCTATAGGTAGGATGCAGTCGGGCAGCATAAAGTAGTCTCATAATGACATAAAATGCAGCGGGAGTCACGATAATGACATTGGAATACCTTATATCCTTCAGAGCAAAGCTTCTAGCCGCCCCTTGTCAGATTATCGTTGGACTGAGCCGGTAATCCAGCCCCCGAATATCAGACATCGCACATCTCAGCTCCCGCTCTCAGAGCCAGACCGCGAGAAAATCATGAATCAGCTTGGTACCATCATGTCTCGCCTTTCAAAGTTTCATTTCGATAAGATTGGATCGTTGTTTGAAGACGATAACGGTGGATTTTCAGTTGGTGAATGTCTATCTCCTGTTCTTACGTGGCAGTCAAGAGACTCCTTGGAGGCAGAAATCGAACGAGGTCCCTTTACAGAGGAACCTACCTATCTTCGGTCTTTAATATCAGCTTTTACTGCTCATGCAGAGGAGCTATCACTCACACCTTACCTATTCTTCTCGCCACTGCCCAAGCCAGCTGACTATCCGACATGGGATAGCTTTCTGGCAGCTACCGATAGAAGGGGTGACTTTATAGTCGTCGGTGATAAACTGGAGGGTAGCAAGAACCGACTGGATTGCTGTATCGCAGGTCAGATCCTAGAGGAAATGGTACCAAAGCTGTCATCTGATTCGACCGATTTCACCATATCACATCCTGATCTTCATACTGGAAACATATTTGTCGATGAAGATCTAAACATCACATGTATTATTGATTGGGGTTCTACGACGACTGGTCCGGTGACTGAGTTGTTAGCGACTCCAAGGCTCGCAGGTTCTTCGCAACCACCTTCAGCAGCTCTCACTGCTGCTTTCCAGGCCGGATTTTCTCAAGAATCCCCAAACATCAACCAGGACATGTGGAGAAAAGCTGAGATGAATTGGTATTTCTCTCGATTAGTACGTCTTCTGTCTGGCCAAGATCTTCCACTATTTCGAAGATTATATGATCTTGTTTATAAGACCGGAGCTGAAAATCCATCGGATTCAAGAGATTATGGTTGGTTATTTCATCAGCGGGCCATGTCCTCAAGTAACAAGCAGCTTCTCTCTAAGTTGAAAGAATATGATTTGACAAACGATGAAGTGAAGAAACGGGAGATAGAGGTCTTTTCTGGAGACGAAGTGGAAAGGTTAGCTGTGGCTAGGAAGCTCACGTTGATGTCTGAAATGAATCCGGGATTTATTGGAGATAGGCGGCTATGGAGATGGATTGAAGAGGCTATGAAGGGCCCTGTGTATGATCGTATTAATGAAAGTGAGTGAACCTACCTGGGGAGTACGTTGTAGATAGTTGGCTTAGAGGTTCTTGTCCTCGTATAGGGGCACTGACTTGTCAAAATAGACGGAAAAGCTTGAAAGAGGAAAGAGGAAAGAGGAAAGGGTTGATATCATCAGACGCGGCACAACTAGTGTACTCAATCGGACATAGATCGAAAAGTGCCGTAGGTGACTAAAATATTGGATTTCTTTCTTTCCTTCGTATTAGAACAGTCACTTCTAGTATCGTACATGCTTCCACATTATGGCCCTCCTGCTAGCCCCTTTTTGATCCTCAGAACCGTATTGATATGACTCATGGCCAGTTGAGTCTTCTCGTGCGTTGCAAGAAGTCTTGCAGTTTTGACCACATTCTTTATCTGCCTCCCATTAAGCTCGACACCGGCTAATTCGTCCAGTTCATCTTCAGAAAGACTATTACCATCGGTGCCAATATTCACAAATGTCTTCCAAATATGCAACCTGCTGGTATAATCCAGATTAGGATAGTGAATAGTGAGATGAATTCGAGACTCAAAAGCCGGATCAAATGCTGAGACTCGGTTCGTTGTTAGAAACATGACGCCCTCAAAGTATTCCAGGAGTCTAAGGAAAATTGAGACGAGTTTGTTTCGTTTGATATCAGAGGTAGTTCGACATTCGAGAAAGACATCGCACTCGTCGAGCAGGAGGACTGCTCCCCATCGTGTTGAGAGCTCGAGAGCACAGTCTAGCTTCTGCTCAACTTCTTGGGCGACATCTCCTAACTCGGCAGCACTCATATTATAAAGTGGCCTTTGCATTATCTCGGCAACTAAGAGAAGATTAGTTAGTAAGATTTGACTAGCTATAAAGGCATCGTGGTAATCACCGGACTCAGCTGTGAGTGTTTTCCCAGTTCCCGGCTCTCCACTCAGAAGCATGATAATCCCCCTTCCTGCATCGGATCAGTCAAATTTGCTCTCCATCTCATGGTCTCAGCCTCACCTTTGCCTTTTATTACATCGTCGAAATTGTCTAACCCAGACATTTGAGCACCAACAAATGCTTGGATAATTCGTTTGTAGTCGTGTGGCAGCACTAGCTGATCAAAGGCTGTTGAGCTCCATACCACATCCTTGACGAGCTCAATATCGAATAATCCTAAGTTTACCATCAGTAAATAGTATTGGGTAGATACCTTGAGCCAACCTACCCCATTCCTTGGTTTTCAGGCAAAACCCTTTCACGACGTTCGTACATAGTGCACACTGGCTTTCGGAGAGTCTTTTGATAGGTACATCTTCTGAGACGATTAGCTTATGTTTACCACTTAGCCAAACCTATAGACACTGGCTCAAGAGGCCTTTAAGCCGCCTCGAGATTAGAATACGTACTTGAAGTCTTTGAGCCATTGCTCAGAACTCTTGTGACGTATGGCTTCGTTGGTAGAGGCCTATGCGTGAGCGAATCAACCGACTTATCATGGTTTGGCTCGTTACCACGAAAGACAAAGCTTTTTGAAGACTCAAGTGGTTGAAGAGGACCGGTCATGCCACGGTTAAACCATAAGAATGTTCTGCAGTCAATGATGATCCGCTCATCTGTAACCTACACAACCGTCAGGAGACCTAGGAAGGAATGCAAAGAGCTTCTGACATACATGGCGCTGCTTTGGTAATCCTGAAGCCGTGTGAGACAAACTATACATCCCAGAATACGTCTTGTGGTTGATCCCTTGCAAGCTCTCAAATAGTTGACCACGCTGGACGAGTCGCTCCCTGACTTGATCGAAATCGGGGCATAGACGCGCCGGGATAACAGCTAGCTCCAAAATGGGTATGACGTTCTCAAAAGGTAATATAGTCAGGTTGGTTTCCGTGTACCCGAAGGTATCTCCATCGGTGTCGATGAACCGCACACTAAGCACGTATGCCACCGTTCCTTCTGGTGTCTTGGAGTAATTACCGCTGACCAACCTGAACAGCCTATCACGACCTTCGATCTTGGTGTAGACTTCCACGTCAGGCTCAAAGAGTGTCCACACATAATCAAACGATATAACGCCATTGTCAAGAAGATCCGTGGCTTGCTCAATGCGCGGCTTGATCTCGGCATGTATGATATCTGCCAGAAGCTTGTAATGCGAGCACTCCTCGGAGGTTTCCGTTGATTCCTTTCTCGGATCTGCTTGGTTGAACTCATCCCATCTATAGAAAAACTCTCGAAAAGGCGCATGGAATTCGAGCTTCTTGAGGTTGGTGTTGATACCCTTGTACCCTTTGAAAACCGGACCGAGAATCTTTTTGAGTAGTGGACTCTGTACTGTGATCGAGTGTAGCGAAAGGACTGATTCATCGATCTCACCATGCTCTTTCTCACGTCGGACAATGAGTGCGTACTTGGCTGAAGCGTGGGATGATCGTCCATCGACTCCGATTTCCTCGTCAGACCACTCTTGCCAAGGGTCCCAACTGCTCTTCCGGTAAATATCTTTAGTCTCAGCAGCCATGCCCACCTCTGCCATGTTATTTGAGCCGTTTTGATGATGATGGTTGTTTTGATTATGCTCATCTGAGCGCGTAAACCAAGGACTGCCCATGTTGTTGACCCGCGGTAGGAATGACTAAGAACCGGTATCAAGCGTCTCCCAATGAATACAGTTGGTCGACTGAGATCCAGGGAGTTCTGACTTTTCACACCGAAGGGAATTACCCGTGGTTGACGTTTCGTTTGAGCACACGGCACAGAGTCCCCTCTGGTTGAGCCAAGAGTAAGAAGAGCGCACTGCGCAGCAGCATGTGAAGGCTTGTCTCAATAAAGCGACAAACTGCCCACCCTCCCTGCAGGTAAGTGATCTGACCGGTGATTGAACATGCGTGTATATGTACACCTCATACGAACAAAGACAGCTGAAAGAGAATTTGGAGCCCAACATCTGATTGGCGATCTGCAGGTGCCCAAAGAAGGATGCCAATCATGACCCAATGAAGAAGCGTCATTTTAAAGCAGGCCAAGCTATCGATTTCTGATATTGCGTGGCCCCGCCCACCCCGTCCTATCAAAAAAGGGGGTTGTAGAGTTTGTTCAGCTCGGATTGTAGCTCATACCTACATATCACGCTGTAAAATGACGAAGCGCAGGCCTCAATCTATGCTGTCAGGCTTGCATTGCCGCACTCTTGCATAAGCCATGAACAACTATTTGAGGCTTTCCGGACCTCCCGGGAATTGCAACGGGGATGAAGCCGTGCTGCAGAACCAGAAATGGCTTAGGGGCGGAACCAATCCGAAAAAGTGACAGCTCTTTGGGTTGATCATCGTCAGGGATCACAGATGCTGGTGCCCTGTTCTTCCGTATCATGATAATGCTGACTCACTTTGCATGTCTGAAAAGTGCTGCCTCACAAAAGCTGACCACTGGTTCTGTCAGTATATCTAGCGTGGCGTTGCTGGGCTTACTATGCTGCTAAGATTTTTCCACTCTTCCACTGTCTCTGAACCTTTCGAGTCTTAACAATACCAATATGAACATTAACCTCAACAACGTATAAAGACCTAGTGATATATATGCTTATCTATCTATCATCTAGTCATACAAAAACAAAAGCGCATACCTTTTGATTTCAGACCAGGCACTTCAATTGCCATATAGAATTGAATCAATTCTATTTGGCTTTACCCATCCCATCCTCCTGCTTACTGAGAGCTGAGAATTCATGCTTGACCCCTCGCTCGTGCAGCTACTCTGAAAATCTCGCCCGCTTCTTCTCTAGTCTAGAACTTTCATCAGCATCATGGTCATGGTCCAGACGACGTTTCCGAGCTGTCTGCGTCGGATCCTGAGGTTCACTTCTTCCTTCGTTCGGCAGCTCAACGAGTGAAGTCTGACAGGTTGCGGACTCCGGTAAATCTACATCCATGTCAGTCGCCATTTCGGTCTCAGTTGTCAATCTGTTTTCAGATCCATGGTAGTTCATAGACTCAGCGTCTATCGCTTGCTCGCCACCGGTTTCTAACAACTCTTCCAGCCAGTTCCCCGCCGTATACCTAAGTAGGTTATTCTCGGTCAGAATCCAATTCGTCGGGTCATGGAGCCGATGAAGTATCTCATGGTGAAGTCCCGTATCGTGCTTACGCAGTTCCTTATGCTCAAGGTAATTGTGGTAATATCGGAGGGCCTGGCATAAGAAATCTTCGGGGTCAAGAAGAGCGAGACCTTCCTCAATGATCTCGTGAGTGATTTCAAAGCTGGGTTTCTCACATGATTTTGAATGAGGCGAACAGCTTATATTCGCAATGGACCAGAAAAGGCAGATTCTAAGGGCATAGAGGTCTTCTCTATTCATTTTGGATAATCGTTTATGTGTAGTGTTGATAATAGTGGCCAGACGGTTGGCGTTTGCTAAGAGATGTGGCTTGAGCATAAGAAGTAGGCTGAGTATTTATAGTTCAAACTAGCCTGCTTTCTCGAATTTGTTCACTGTTATACTATATTATGCGTGATCGTGTTCGAATGTCTCAAAGACTGCCATCGTTGCTTCATTGTTCAGCTTCTCAGCGAGGCAATCATGCATGTTCATACTGCAATGGATTCATTTATTCTTTCAGAAACACTTATCTTATCTTCATAGAAAGAAGAATCCACTATCGAGATTTGCTTGCACTTCATGTGCTTAATCTGAGTTGTTCTGTCGTATTAAACTAAATATTGATCAACAAAGTTGTGAGACTTTGATCTGTTATCTTTCAGAGAAGGTGGCGTTCTCACTGGTGAGCCTTGTGAACATAGTTGTATTAGCTATCTGTGCTACCCAGGGGCATCCCTAGTCAGCTACGCTCCTCAAGCTTTGGATGGTGCCAAGGCGGAGAATCTAGCATAACATGGATGACAGTAGGTCCATCTCTCGCCAATGCTTCTGTAAGTGCTTTTCGCAGCTCCTCCTCGTCCGTAACTTTACATCCATCACATCCAACTGCCAGTGCCAATAACTCAAAGTTTGTATGAGGAGTGCAAGCTAGAGGCGGAATACCCCCTCCAGCCCGGATTCCACTCATGACTAGCCAGATAGCATTTGATCCATATAGAACAGCGGTACTTACCTCTGACTGCAGCAGCATTGCTGCGGCACTAATAATGGCCACCGCGTGTTTGTCCCCAAGGCCCATGCCGACAACACCGCAGACAGCGTGGCCCATAGGAGAGGAATCCAGGTTTGATCGAAAGAGCCCATGTTTGGGGAACCTCAGGAAATTGGCTGTCCAGAAGAGGTTTCCGGCACCGGAGATGATCGAACATTCGTTTTCATTGATGGCAACCCTTTGAACAACAGACATGACTGTTTTTATGTGGATCCGTCCTTTAGATGCAGCTGGAACCGGCGGGATAGTGGCATCTAGCATGAGCCCATACTCCGTTTTGTGTTCAGTACCCTTTTCCTCCAACAACACGGCTTTAATAAAGAGACTGATATCAGCTTCAATGATATTCGAACGCTTGGGCATATTTCGTTTGACTTCGGAAGTTTCCAGGCCAACACAATAGAAGTCCGTATTGGCCCAGTCGTCCTGAATAAACTTGGAACTCAGCTCAGCTGCCTTAGATCCTAGAAGAAGGACGCCTCTCGGCCTTTTGGTTCTCAGCTTGAGATTCGCCGATTCCCCTAAGCCAGTTGTGCCACGATACAAAGGATGGTTCTCTGGGAAAATCCCCTTCGCACGGGGCGTAACAATAACCGGAAGATCGTATCGTTCCACAAGCTGTTTAACAAGAGCGGAGGCACCACGGCAACCATAACCGATCCAAAGTAGACAGGTCTTGTTTTTAAACCTCTCAGCAACCTCGCGACAGACAGCAAGGGCTTCCGTGGATAAAGAGGGGGGATAGAGGAAAGGGATAAGTTGAAATTGCGGAGGTTCTTGCAGAGGTAGTGTGAGTGATTTGCTTCTCGCGTCGGTCAAGAAAACCCCCAGGACCCCACCCAGAGGATCGCGGTTAATCCGAACCAAGGTTTGACGCAGTCGCTCTACATCCAATAGGCCTCTGATGATGACACAGTAGCTGAGTACACTATAGACAGTTGTTCCAGTGAGCCCTTCCACATCCATCGGAAAAGTCTCCTGAACAAGGCGACGACCTGTTCGATCGGTCTCCTCACTCGTCAACCCTGCAATGAAGACAATGCGGGCTCCGTCTTCACGAGCACAACGGAGTCCAGTGATGGCATTCGTGATTCCTGGCCCGCTCGTTACGAAAACAACAGCGAATTTGTCAGCCTGTATAGAATACTCTGCTGCGGCAAATGCAGCCCCGGATTCATGGCGAAAGTCGTAAACTGCGATGCCTGGGCGATCTAGGGCTTTCCGGATGTGATGGATATGAGTTCCAGAGACGCCGAAGGCTTTGTCGCAACCAAATTGGGACAGGGTATCAGCGATTGCATCCGCGTGGGACTGCATGGTGGAATGTCTTAAGTTGGTGAGGTGGTAAGATTGGGTGTTTTGGGTGTTTTTGGGGCGGAAACGAAGAGTCAAGACTCGTGGTTATACACCTTCCTGCCATTCTTCCGGCAACTGGCGATAATTGATATATGCAGAAGGTAACATGGGCGACATATGGGCAACACTTGCTGCACTACCTAAGGTAAGGTAGTGTAGGATGACTAGTTGTAGTAGATTTCAGGTACAACTGAGGTCCACACTTTCCACCAGAACAAGATCTAACATGAGTTGTCTGAGGAATCTCCCGCCTTGGAAGGAGTTGAAAGTTCTGGCACCACGATACGCAATATCTCTGATAAGTTGACATGGCTTTTGTATGTTTCAACATCCGTCCACCACAGAGACGGTAATGGTACAAGTCCTAGTTCACCCATTGCTACTCTACGGGTTAGTTTCCCGGAAAGGAGACGAGAATATCATCGCGTTTCCCAAGTTGTGTTCTTCAAACCAACTTCTCATCTGCGATTCTAGTCCTTGGAGTGGTGAGTTAATCTTGATTATCTTGAAAATAGCCACACAAACAGTCACAATGTATTTCACGTCGTAAAGATCAAAGGGATTTTCCATAAATATCAAATCTCGTCACTGCCCGCAGACAGTCACCTCAAACTTAGTTATTAGTATAGAGTCAGCAAAATGTCGAAAATTTCAGATTCTTTCAGCGTCGCCAGGTATCGGACACTGTAATTTGGTCCCATGGCTAATCAATAAGTCTGATGTTTGCTTCTGTTTGGTGATTGAATAAAGAACAAATGTGGTGTTGGGAGAATCAGTAAGTGGAGAGGCCTCAGCGAGACAGGGGTGTCACATCCGTGGAAGCCGCGGAAAGCGCTAAGATCTGGAATACGAAGGCAACAAGGCATCAACCACGCATCAACTTAAACACTTTGACTGACACGATAACAACTCATCAGAAATTCCGCTTTTTACGCTACAAGCAATAAGATTCAAAACATGGAATTAATTTCGTACCTCCTAAAACTATATCAATAGCCAACAATTGCTGTCTTGAGTGCCATCACACATCACCTCCCAACTTCAAAAGCTATCTTTAGCAATGGAACCCCACAAACCGGCCCTCAAGATTGTTCGAATAAGCTCTCGTGTGCAACTCGAAGAGCTTGTCGACTTTATTTGCGATGCCTTCATGGAAGACGACCTATTCTGCGCCATGGTCCCTGGTCGCCATGAACATCCCGATGCAGCTCGAAGCATGTGGCGCACGACCCTCGTCGAGGAGTACGGCAGGAAAGGCTCTGTGCTTCTCGCTGCTCGCCGTCAAGGAGAGAATGGGGAGCAAGGCGAATTTGTTGCCTGTGCAGTCTGGAGCCGCTGTGGAAAGAGTGATCTCGCTCGGAGCTGGCAGGGAGATAACTGGAACAAGCGTGAGTCGGCATTGAATTTATGAGAGTGGCAGTATAACTGACCATTATGAGTAGTAATTGCCAGACTTGAAACTGCGTGGACCATGTTCTATAACTTCTCCCTTCGACAAGCAGGTCCCGGTATCGCACTAGACGCCTGCATCGCAGCAGGAGCAGCTGCAGAGCAAGCCTACAAGTTCTACCCCGATGAGCGCTGGCGTCTCGGCCTCCTAGCCACCTCACCCAAATGCCAAAGAACCGGCATCGGGAAGCGTCTTGTACAGTGGGGCCTCGACCGCTGCGAGGAGGAGGGAGTCCCAGCGACGCTCGAGTCCAGTGTGTCAGGACGGCCACTCTACGAAAAGATGGGCTTTAGAGAGGTGGGCACTGTGAGCTTCTACGAAGGGAAGTGGTCCATGCCTGCCATGCTCAGACCTGTCGAGGAGGACAAGAAGACAGTTTAGAAGGTAGCTTTGTCAGATTCAATGGCTGAAGGCATGGTTTGAAGCAACTGGGATTGGTGGTTGCGGGCAAGGGCGTATGCTTGAGATGTATGATAGGCGGCATGGAGTTTCATTCTTGATTATTTGCAGGTTCTTGATTCATTCGCTACACTATTAAACTCGTTACGGTGAAATGAGGGGTTGGCTCGGCGTCTTGCAGATTACGAGCATCAGGCGTAGAATGCTGGCTGAACTGAACTGAGGGGCGGTTATCGAGAAAGAAACTTGAGTTATCGTGCCTTGGAAGGATTGCAAGTGAAGAAGTGGCTTGAACTACTCAGAGAGGTCCATTATGTTGATTCTGTGTTAGGCTATCTTCGCAGACGAGACCCCCGACTGCAAGGTCAGACTCGCCGTTGAACCATCAAGACTTCACTTGGGCAAACATGGTGGTCAAAAATATGTACGAGTCAAAAGTTTATATGATTGATTGAGTTCAGCTACTTGCGTGAGTGTAATGATGTTTCCCCTTCCCATACCACTAGCAAGATACTCTGATCGGAAATTCCCTGAAAGTCCACGGTGGGCATTGTTGAGAGTGTTATTTTGAGTTGATAGACCTGAAAGCTGATGCTTGCATCGCGCGCACTTCGGGAGGCGAGGTTGACAGGATCATCCTGCTGCGA